GAAGAATTTTAGTAACGATAAGGTTTCATCTTATAAAATTAGTTAATTATATTAAAGCAATGTAATATAAAAAATATTATAAATCTATGTCTTATAATTCCGTATAAGAATGATTGAATCTTAAATTTTTGTTTATTACTGCATAAATTTATCAAACTATATATATAGAATAACATTCATTTCTCAACGAAAAAAATTAATCGTTATATTTTATGATTTATTTAGTTTACTTTTTTATTTCATATATATATTTTTTATTGTTTTCTTATTACATTAGATATTTATAAGTAAATTGTGGTCATATTAAGATTTTTAAGGTAGATTTTTAATTACCATTTCTCTATTTGTAGAAAATTAAAATATTCTATAAAAAATTTAAGGTTGAAACAAAAATTGTTTTGGACATTTAAATTTTGATCCAAATCTGATTATAACATCACTCTGGTAAAGAAAATACAATAGATCTTTGTTACTTCTCTTTTCCTAGCATCTTCCCCCTCTCCAAACATGTAATCTTAATATGGAAACGTAGATAAAAAGCTGGAGTACCAACAAAAACACTAATGCAAGTAAGTCCGATAGATTCTAAGACTGATCCCGGCGGAAAAGAAAGAATGAAAATAACAATACAAAAGTCTCCTCTTTTTTCAAGTCGGAATCGACTAAACTTTGAGAGCATACTTCCTCACCGGAAAATACATCTCCTTCTTCTTCTCGCGTTCTGTCTTCAAGGATGCCTACATGCAACACAACCCAGAAAAGCAGTTCAAAAGATGTGTGTTTGTTGGTGTGTATACAACAAAATAATATATCCACTATTACTTGATAAACCCATATAAGCTTACGTACAGACAAAAGCAGTTCTTAGGAAAATGAAATAAGCAACATAAATATAATATATGGCATTATGAGCTCAGATATCCAAATGGTGTGGTAGGTCCCATTTCTAGTTTTAGTCTTTATATTTGCCTTAATATATATAGTTTGAATATAGTTTGTAGTGTTAGAATTACCAACCAACAGATCTTAACTTTTTTAAGGTCGAAAACTCATCTCCATCTTCCTAGGTAGGAATTCAATTCTTACAGTCAAGGAAGATGATAACTCAAACCTAACCTAGTACAAAATTAGTCATTGAAGAATAATGCCCATGAACCAGGGCCTAAACAGAGTTGCTCATCTCTTTCATATTCAAAGAAATTAACTGCAACAACTCTTCTCTCTTCTTTCCCTTGTCAGAACAGCCTTTTTGCAATCCACATATCTTGTTTGCTCCTTCCACTATCTACATTAAGACCCTAATTTTCCCTTTTTCCTTTTCCATCTTAATAGAAGCATTAAAATCTGGACACTTGACTCAAATACAAGCCCTCCGAGATCAAATCTAACCCCTCCTTTTGGTAGAATTTATCAACATTTACTGAAGCACTATGACCTTGATTTCTTTTTCTATAGAGGCAATAAAACCCTCAGTTTATATCCAATAGACAAAAGAAGAAGTAGCATCAAAATCTTTGACTTAATTACAAGCTCTAAAAGATGGAAGCCAATCTCCCTTTTCAATAGAATTGCCAACATCTACAAAAACATCAGTTCCTCAAAATTCAATATTTCCAGAAGAGATTGAATTTTATTGGATAAGAAATTGATTCATTAAGGTGAAAGATTATATATATGAATAAAATCATTCTCTCCAACACCCTATCTTTTGCTCTGGTAGTCAAATAGAAGCCAAACCTTGTCTTTTTTTATAATGAAAAATATATATGAGAATAAATATATGAAATTGATCCATTAATGAAAAATATATCTATACAGCAACTGTTATGTTCTTATCATCAGCCTCAGTTGCAATATTAGAAAAATTCCTCACAAAAGATTTTCCAAAACAAAATCGAAAACAAGAAACAAAAATCACAACAGTCAGTCTTGCAGGTGGCAATTTCATTGTCAAAGTAAACCACATTGCAAACAATGCTTACCATCAGAAAAACAAATTAAAGAAAGGATCATTATGAAACCTGATGTTTGGTGAGGCGTCTACGAAATAGCTCTGGTCTTCTTTGGGCGGA